TAACAACACCCCTCCCACCCCTCCTCCCAGGCCCCAGGAACTGCTGTTCACCATTCTGTCCGTGAGATTTTGACTATTCTAGGTACCTCCTATGGGTGCAGTAATGACATATTTATCTATTGGCCTGTTTCACAGTGTCTTCAGGGTTCATTCCCATCACCTGTCAGACCATCCTTCCCCCTGTAAGGTCACTCAGTGTGCTGTTGTGTGCTACTCTGCCTGCTGTTTATCCATTCCTCTGTTCACAGTCATCTGAGTTGCCTCCAGCTCTTGGCTATGGTTAATACTGCCATGGACCTGGGTACAGATATCTATGGGACACCCTGCTTTCAGTTCCGGAAGTGGTATTGCTGGATCATTTACTGGCATAATTTGAAGGTGCAGTTAGAGGGCTCCTCTTGCCCACCAGGGTCAGAGAAGACCCTCAGGTCCCAAAGAACGGTTTGAAAACTAATGAGTCACTGAATGCTATGACTCACACCTATAATCTCAGTTACTTGGGAGGCTGTAAATCTGAGCCCAGCCCGAGCAACTTAGTGAGACCTTGTCTCAAAATGAAAAATAAAAAGTGTTAGGGATGTAGCTTAGTGATAGAGCACCCCTGGGTTCCATCTCCAGTACTGAAGAAAAAAGAGGAAAACTAGTGCGTCGAATGAAACATTACCAAGTTCTTCACTTCCCCCTTCCTTCCCAGGCAGATTTGCCTCTTGGATTCTTTTCCAGTTATCTCAAGTGGAAACTACTATTCACGCAGCAAATGTTCCTAAGTGCGTCCTGCGCTGACAGGTCGGCAGAGACAATAAACAATACGCATGAAGCAGGAAATGGTTCAGTGTGTCAGACCATGATGGGTGCTGCGGACAAAGCAGAGCTGCAGGGACGAGAGGGGACAGGAGGCTGGACGCTCAGCGAGGTGTGTGATTTAAGCAAAGACAGGAAGGAGGTGGGGGCGTTGGGCACATGGTGGGTGCAGGCGCACTTGGCAGGGGGAACAGCCAATGAGAGGGCTCTGGTCTCACAGTGATGACTAAGGTCAGTGAACAGCAAGGATAGCGTGGCTGGAACAGAATGAGTGGGGGGAGAGAAGAAAAGAGAGGTAGAGAGGCCCTGAGGCCCATCGCCTTCGTAAGGGGCCTGGCGGGGTGACAGGCGAGTCCTAGGAGGGTTTTGAACAGAAATAGACACAGTCTGTTTGAGGTGGCACGTCTTGACATAGCATGATGAATGGCAAGGTGAGAGAGCAGAAGGAAGCAGGGGCCTGGTGAGGAGGCCCTTTGCTGTGACCCTTGTGGGAGGCCGGTGGCTTGCGCCAAGGTGCCAGTGGGGAGGGAGGGAGGGAGGGTAAATGCAGCCGCACATCATAGGGCCTGGGTGTGTCCCTGATGGCAGCAGACTGTCACACTGCCCGTCCTGCCTTCCTGCACACTCTGCAGCTGAAGTGAGGTGGGATGGCAACTTTCCTTCCAGGCCAACCTCTCTTTTTCCTGCTGGTGTGATTGTCAGAAGTGACTGTCACTCTGAGCGCTTGGGAGCTGCAACTGTTGTCATGGCGACCTCCTGAGATGCTTCATTTCCTTCTGGCTTCCAGTTTGACTTCCAGATAGAGGTGTAGAGTGAATGGGGTTCTCTCCTAAATGCTTGGGGAGTGGGAGGCAGGCAGGGGAGATGATAAACCAGAAGCATCTCAAGATTGTGTGTGTGTGTGTGTGTGTGTGTGTTTACCTTCCAACTTCGGTCTCTAGTTTCCAGCCTTAGGACGGTGCTGTAGCTCTGTGTGTTGGAAAGCACTTCTTTGGCTAAATGCTGTCCCGTCTTGGCTCAGAGCAATTAGGCTTCAGCATTCCCAAGGCGCTGTAGCTATTTCTCTGTTAATTATTTGATTGCACTGCCGAATTGTATAAAAATTCAGCTGTGGCAAGAAAGAAGCGAGAAAGAGAACAACCCCCCCACACACACACACAAACACAGATTTGACCTTGACCTTCACTGACTGCTCCAAAGGAGAGGAAAGGCCACAGCTGGAAAAACAAAAGTGCTTTCTTGTATGTGATCTTCTAAAGGCCTGACTCGTGCAGTTTTTAGGACAATTTAAAGAATGTTCAAGGGTGATACTGACGGTGTTTGATTTCCTCATCTTTGCTGATGTTAGAATTTTGTACCACTAAAGAAGAGATCCCACCACCAGGTGTGGCAGCACATACACCTGTAATCCCAGCACTCGGGAGGCTGAGGCAGGAGGATTGCCATGAGTTCAAGGTCAGCGTGGGCTACAAAGTGAGTTCAAGGCCAGCCTGCACTACATAGTGAAATCCAAAAAAAAAAAAAAAAAAAGAAGAAGAAGAAACCCCACTCCATTTAGTGTCAATCAACAAATCTTTCCTGAACACTCACTGAGGGACCCCTACGACTAGTAAAAGTGACTCGGTCAGCATTTTCTTTAGTGACAGATAGTGTAGCTGATCAGACAAAAGTCATAATCATAGAGCAACAGAGTGAGGTCCTGTTCCATAATAATCCTGTGCATCCCGAGTGTGGGCTGTGTGGTCCAGGTGTAAGTGTGGTTGCTCTCACTGTGTATACTGTTTTCCTGGCAGCCGGTCCGCTTCTGGGTCAAATGTGGGTCTTTCTTGGAATTCCTTGGTGTCTTCGCAGTGCCTTGGTGGAGACAAGCCCTCAGCAGGGTCTCAGGATCTGAGCATGAGTCCTGCCATCGGTGAGCTTCTGCCCCTGGGAGCTGCTGGACCAGACCTGGGCACATGGGATGACCCTGGGGCACACAGGAGCTGCTAGCTGACCCGCCGGGCCTTTTTCTTGTTATAAGCAGCCAACATCCTCTCTCAGAATTGGTGTGGCTTCTCAGATGCGCTTGAGAATCTCAGTTTAACTTCGGGCTGCATCCTGACCCTGAACCACATCAAGGGGTAGAGGCCCCTTGGGACTGGTGTACCCAGCTCAGGTGGCACATTCCCTACCCCACAGCTGCCACCACACCGCCTTAGCCAGCAGGGCGCCTCAGCTCATGCAGACAATCCTTGGAGTTGGAAGGATTGACTCAGTCCCGCCATCATGGGTGGCTGAGAGCTGCCTCTGTCACACCAACCCCTGTCCTCTTATTAACAAGATCAAGGGAATGGGACTTAACCATGACCTCAGCCCCTCTGGCTGGGCCGGGCCATTTGGGCAAGGGCTTTCTAGGGTAAAGCACTCCCCTTGTACAGAGCAAGAGGCAGAATTCTTCTTGTTGTGTTTTGTGATACAGGGGATTAAATCCAGGGCCTTTGAACTGAGCTACATCTCCAGTACCGTTTTTTTTTTTTTCTTTTTTGGTTTGGTTTGGGTTTGGGTATTTGGTTTGCTTGTTTCTGATTTTTTTGCTTGTTTGCTGTGATACAGGGGATCCAACCCAGGGCTTCATGCATGCAAGGCAATGCTCCACCACTGAGCCATATCCTCTATTGTTTTATTTTTGAGATAGGGTCTCACTAAGATGCTAAGTTACTAAGCCCAAGCGTGGTCTTGAACTTACGATCCTTCTGCTTCAGCCTCCCAGAGTGTTGGGACTGCAAGCACGTGCCATGTTGCCTAGCTTCGGAATTGTTACCAAATCACATTATTGTTTTCATTATAAAACTATCAATAAGCTCATATCCAAAAAAGGCTAAAAATACAGAAAAATAGAACAAAACCCAATTGTCCCTACTTCCTCAACCCCACCACCAAGGGACAGTGATCGTGAACATTTCCATATATTTCCTTCTGCTCTTTTTGCTCTGCGAAACTTTTTTTAAAAAAATAACGAATTGCAGTATATTGTACATTCAGTGGTATGCTGGCAGACTACCTCTCTAGGGAAAAAAAAAAAAAATCCCTGATTGGTAGCATTTGCCAATTCCTGTGGTGTAAATATCCCATGTTCCTCCTCTTATCAATTTCACATCACTGGCATGGCTGAACAGAGAGCTGGGAAGAAGAGATGTGCAAGACTGATTCTCTGAAGCAAGTATGGACCAGCTCTCACACACCATATTGCAATTTGAAATCATCTTTTTTCTGATCTTAAAATCAATACTTATTCATTATTGAGAATTCATGAAACACAAACAGATAAAGAAAACTATTAACATCATCCAGAATCCAAGGTCCTTCCCCCTTAGAGTCGGCCAGTGTCCGCATCCTGATGCGTATGTCCTGGTTCCTTCTCCACGGAGAGAAACCTCTGCAGAGAAATTTTGAGAGAGACTAAAAGCAACACATATCCGTGACAGAAAACGCGGGAAATACAGAAATGCCTCTGCATCTTTGTAATATGTCTGGCCTCATGGTTCAGATATCCTCACTTGTAGGCAGAGTACATTCTCTTATCCCAGAGGAAGGTGACGTGCAGGGGCAGGACATTATCCTGATGATTTATTGAAAGTTTACTGAGGCTTAAAGAGACAAACAATAATATTCCTGCTTCCTGGCATTAAACAAATGGCAGTAGGATGAAACTCAAATTATTTGAAGTCTTGGGGGACCCTGGTTTGGGGCCCTGGACCGTGTTCTGCAATTCTAGATGCTAGGCCCTGATCCATTTCTTTTCCCCATACGAGGCTCCTGTGGAGTGTAAGAGCTTATGCCTGTAGCCATGGGAGAACCAGGGGAGGCTAGCTCTTGTTTAAGCCTAAAAATGAGTGAATTCATTCCTTCCTGTAACCAGCACTTTCTGAGTACCCATCCGGCAGGCATCTGGTTTGGCACCACGGTAAGATGTGGAGGAGATATGTGCCTAACTTCTGGTGCCCAGGCTAAACCAGCAGTAAGATGCAGTAACCACAGCTCAGGGTACAAAGAGTTGCATCCAGGATATTAAGCCAATCCATGCCAAGTCCCAGAGCTCTGTCATGTACATAGGCAGTACTGGGTAAAAGGGGACTGCTGTCACCTGCAAGGACAAAGGCCTAGTGAGTGAAAGTGCCCGCCAGGCTCCCCTGGGCTAACCGGCTCCCTCTCTCCTATAGGAATCCTGCACGGTGCCACCCTATGGACCCAACGGCTGGTTTTTCTGGTTTGCTCCCCCAGGGTGATTTGCATAATTCTTTAAAGAACCCCCAGAAGCTGAATAACCTGTTTTCAGACCTAGAGAAAGGGGAGCCCCACGGTTGTTTCTCCAAATCTGGGTAAGTATCCTTTAAAGTTTCTTTTTCTTCAGACCTCCGATCATTATTTGTAAAAGTTCCTTATTTGAGAGCTTATGCATCTGTCGTCTGTTTCTCTAACACGCAGTCTCCACGAGGGGTCTCACTGTCTGCCTGTCTTGTCTTAGTCACTGCCGTGTCCCCAACATGTAGCATGGTCCCTGGCACCTAGTGGGCTCCAGTACATTGCTTACTAAATTAATAACTGATTAATTTGTAGTGGGAATGAATATGTGTATATGATGTGCTTAGGCCTTGGAAATTCTGTGCAGATATCCTAGTCTTTTAAACTTTATTTTCAAATAATACAGCCGCACAGGAAGCTATAGAAACTCTACAAAGCAGTTTCTCCACTCTCTGCACAGCCATCACCCTTACAGTTAAGAAACACCTTCCCCAGACTACTCAGCCCTTCATGGGTAACCCTTGATGACTTCCCCCAAACCCATGTCTTCCTTGCTCACCCCACACCTACTCATTGTCCACACCCAGCTACACCTAGCATTTTTTTGGTTCTTCAAAGCAGTATCTCTTTCGTCTCTGGATCTCAACATGTGCTGCCCTTCTACCCTGTGCCTGTCTGATTCCCTGGCCATCTCCTCCAAGGGGCCAATTTGGGTTTCCATCTTCCCTCTTGTAGCCCCTCATCACAGCATTTAGCCCACCCATTTGCTTGCTTATCCCTCCCCGCCCCTGCTGCTTCCTCTGCTGCTCCCTGCCTCCACCTATCCACTCATCCATCCTGCCACCCACCCACCCACCCATCTATCCACCCACCCATCCACCCATCCATCCACCCATCCATCCACCCATCCA